ATATATGAAAAACATTCATATGCATGTATTTAATGAATGTGATCATAATTTATTTTTTCATTTGAGATGAATCGAGTATGAAAGTCTTAAAAGGACTTAACATACCGAAGCATGTAATATATGTTCTTGAGATAAGAATTCAATTAAATTATAGAGATCTCTATTATGATTATTTTAGTATTTTTTTATTATTTTGGTTTTTAGAAATTCAATTTATACTTTTTATATTTTATTTTTATATCTACTATTTATTACTAACCCGTGTGCATGTGATATAATCACTTCAATGATTATTTGTTGAAAGAAAGTTATAAAAAATAACTCTATTTGTTCTTTTTTTTTTTTTTTGAAAAGGGGTTTGTTGTATATGTTGATAACTTAAATATTATTGGAACTCCCGAAGAGATTCCAAGTGTCATAAGTTACCTAAAAAGAGAATTTGATGTGAATATCTTAGGAAAATAAAATGTTATCTCGACTTGCAGTTCAAGCATTCGGATAATGAGATTTTCATTCATCGGTCAATTTATATCGAAAAAAATTCTACAATGATTCTATTTTCTATATAAAAATCATTCATTGACTAGCCCAATGGTAGTTCAGTCACTTGATATCTAAAAGGATCATTTTTTACCTCGAGAAGATAACGAAGAACTACTTAGTTCTAAAGTACCATATTTTAGTGCCACTGGTGCATTGATGTATCTTGCTAATAATACTCGACTCGATATAGTCTTTTCTATAAATTTGTTAGTAAGTCATAGTTCTGTTTCAATATAGAGAAATTGAAATAAAGTTAAATATATACTACGTTATCTTCGAAGAATAATTGATATGGGCTTATATTACTCCAATAAATCAAATACAAGATTAATTGATTATGTAGATGTATGTTATTTATCCGATCTACACAAAGCTCGATCATAACTAGTTATATATTTACATATGGAGATCTAGCTATATCTTTGTGTTCTATAAAGCAAACTATAGCTGCTACATCTTCAAATCATGCGAAATATCAATTCACGAGGCAAGTCGAAAATGCATTTGGCTAAGATCAACGATTCATCGTATCCGAGAGACATGTAGTTTATCTACCAACAAAAGAAGTTCCAACAATATCATATGAGGATAATGTTGCTTGCATAATTTCATTGAAGGAAGAATACATCAAAGTGACAATCCAAGTAGATTTATTCGCTAAAGCATTACCTATCACAACTTTTGAGAAGATTCACAAGATTGGAATGCGTCGTCTTAGAGATCTTATATAATGCTTCAACAGGGGAGACAAAAATGGAGATTAATGTGTGCAAGGAATATTGTACTCTTTTTCCTTCATTAGGATTTTTTTCCTACTCGGTTTTTTTTCCAAGTAAGGTTTTAACGAGACATGTTCCTTATACAATGGACATTCAAGAGAGAGTGTTATGAAATAACGAATGTCCATCATCATGTTCATCCACTTTTCGTATCCCTACTACTCATGATTCTTAATATGATTTAATTCATCATTCAATATGAGAAATTGAAAAGGTGATGCAATTGATTACTCATAATCCCTTTCAATTCTCTCTTCAATTTTGAAGCCTATAAATAAGCTTGATGGTTCATTAATTGGTGTACAAGTTTTCTAGAGAGAATAAGAGAAATTTTGAAGTTCTTATCACTTATATTCACATTCTAGTGATTTTATTTTCTTGTCATCCTTTTTTTTAATTATCCTATTATTTTTATTTATTTTATAACATTGCTAGCATTCTTCTCTCTATATATATACACACACCATCACAAATGTGTAATTATACTAATTAATTACCTCTTTAATTATTATTTTTTATGTCAATCGAGTTTTAATTTCAAACAAATATGATTATTGAAGTGTTATTATTAGAATTTATATTCTATCAAATTAATTTTTCAATAATCACGTTTGTTATAAAAGAGTTTCGATAAATTATAAATAGAGGAATAATGCACATAGCAAAATACATTTTTTTTTCTTTTGCAATCATGGTGTCAAAATTCATCTCTTTTTAAAGCTCTATAACTTTAAAAGAAATTCTTTAGAAAGAATTTCAAGAGTGTTGTTTATAATTTCTTGAGTGTAAAAATTAAATCCTAAAGGTAAATTGTTAAAATCGTTGTAGCATTATAGTAGGAGCCATAATGACTTTAAAAACCGTATGAAAAAATTTCTACACCTAATTAAATACTACGATTTTTTGTTTTAATCTTTTAATTCTGTAATTGTTATTTTATTATTCAACGTATATGACATTTGAGATTTTTTTTTAAGAAAAAAAAATCAACGCATTCTTCAAAAGCAACATATCCAAGTTTGCGACCCTTAAAGAATATCTTCTTCCTCTCAACCAGTTTTGTTTGGCCATTTTCATCCTTTGCTGAATTTAATATATTTGATAATGTAGTGGAGGTGTTTGTATAAAGTGTTTTTGCATTTTTTTAATATCATTATATCAAAATTATTTTTAAAAAATTTAAAAAACATTAAGTTAATCTAGGAAAATTTTCAAATACAGCGCAAATACTTTACTAAATGTATTTTTTGTAGATTCTTTTAAGCAAGGAGCTCCATGAAAATGCCACGCACGTGGATGAAAGATACACGTCTTACATATTAATTTAATTTGGACCACATTCATTTAAAAAAGAACGGACTGACCCAACAAATCTCATGAAATTTTTAGAATCTACACCGGAAACTCTGCTAGCTGACCACGGGTAAACTTATCTTCAACAGTCTTCTGCTGGAAGGAACATACTGCTTTTTCTGAAGGCACGTGGATAAACGATACATTCATTAAAAACAAAAAGACGTAAAGTACTGAAAGCTTCTGCTAGCTGGGGCGGGCTAACTTATCCTCAACAGCCACCTGGTGGAAGGAACAAACGATCACCGGAGAGAACCGATAAAATTAATTTAAAAAATTATTGTAGTTTAATAGAATGCATTATGCCATAAATGTGCTAAAAATATATTGAATTGAAATAAACAAAGTCATTTAATTTTATTTTTTAATCAAATTTTTATATTTTATTTATTCTTATTAATGTCTTTCATATTTTTTTGTTGTTAAAAAATATGATTTGTTTCTTGTTATTTATTAATTCTTAAAAAATCTATAATAATGTAAATTGAAAATTAAAAAAAAAACCATCTTAATACTTGTTTTCATAAGATTGCATTGAATAGAAAAACAATAATCAATATTAAAACTTATATAAAAATTAACAAACGAATCGTTTTTATATTTTCAAAAATATATACATTTGATTTATATATATTTATTTCTTAAATAATACATAATATTAGCATAAAAAAGATGCATCTGAATTATTAGAAAATTATTCTAAAAAAATTATTTAAATTTATCTATTTTAAAGAAAATAATTTTAGAATATTTGAAAAAAAATTAAACGCAAATTATTGGTGCTATGTGTGCGGATGCATAAATAATTTTTAATAAAACAAATGATCTCAATTTTTTTATACATCATGACCATACTTAGTGGGCCAGAATGTGCATCATAAATCGCAAAGCATTTTTTTTTTAAATAATTTGTAAGGAATATATTGAAGTTAATGAAGTACAATAAAAATAACTATAAAATTTATTTTGATAAAAAATTATTTTACAAAAAATAAAAAATAAAGTACACGAATTTTATTATTTAATTGATGATTTAATTAATTTATTTTAAAGAAATTAATTTTAGAATATGTGAAAAAAATAAACATAAATTATTGATGTTATGTGTGCAAATGCATAATTTTTTTTATTAAACAAATGATTTTAATTTTCTTAATACATTACGACCATACTCGGTAGGTTAGAGAGTGTAGCATAAATTACAAAGTATTTAAAAAAAACTTAATTTGTACAGAACATATTGAAGTTAACGAAGTGCAATAAAAATAAGTAAAAATTTTACTTCGATAAAAGTTTATCGTACAAAGAATAAGGAAATAAAACATATGAATTCTATTATTTAATTGATGATTTATTTAAAAAAAAAATTCATACATGGAGAAAAAATCATATTTATTAATAAAAAATTACATAAACAAGAAAAAAACAATTTGATTAGAATTTTCATAACGCAAATTGAAGAGATAAGTTTTAAATAGTAAAAGTAATATATATATATATATCTGTGTGTGTGTGTGTGTGTGTGTTTCATAGTTGTTAGTATGTGTAAAAAAAATATAATGATTGTTTATCTATAATTTTCACACTCAATTCAATAATAATAATAATAATAAATTGTAAAAAAAAATTACATATTATTATGTACTTTATTTCTTTTAATTGTATATTAGGTTCGTTTTGTATGTATTTTATCATTTTTATATTATTATAATATTATTTTTTAATTCTTTTCAAAGTTTTACTACGATGAAGCCTCATATATGATACATTTTGCAACATTCAATATGAGGTGTTAAAAATACAATAAAATGAAAATTGAAAAAAAAAATAATCCTTGCACTCTTTGAATTGTTTGTATTAAAGTTTTATACTCTTTGAATTATTTTAATTGAATTTCTCTATTGAAATCCCATGTATGACATGCATCACGTTTTTAGGAGTGAATGCTCTATGTTAGCTCACAATTAATAATGTTATAGCAAATAAACAAAAACAAAATAAAATGAAAAATAGAGGGACCCAATCAACTAAAAAGAGTATATTGTTTCAATGAAAATAATTCAAAAAGTACAAAGATTCGTATACGAGAAAAACTCATTTAAAATACATATAAGAGCTCATTTAAACAAATTTCAAAACTAGAGAGACAATGTAATTAGTTATCTTGTAAAGTAATTATCAACGCAAAATGCTTGACTATTATACTTGTCTTAAATAGATAAATTTTGGCATTTAAAACCTTAGCTATTCTTTTAATTTTAAATGTGTTGTTTAAGGAATACAAAATATGTCATAGTTGAAAGACTATAAGAGAATCTCAAATCCATGGTAAGGATAGAATTAATAAATATGAGGATTATTAAATATAATTTTTTAAACCACTATAACACGCTCATTTATGAGCTCAATTGATCATTTTTATCTCTCTATCTTTCTTTGATATTTTAAGGTGAATAACCCTAGATCTAGCCTTTGATGGGTTAGATCTTGTATTTTTTAATTCATCTTGTTTTATATTTGTTGTGAAGCTATATGTGTTTGAAGATGCATAGGCCTTCAACTTCATCTCTCTCTGTATATTAGGAAATGAACAATGGCATTAAATTTGATATAAGATTTTAAATTTAATATTTACTTAATTTTATGTTAGGTTTACATATTTTTATTTATATGTAATATCTATAAACTTTGATTCAATCAATCATATAAAAAAATTACTTTGGTCACTCCATAAAATCATATAATGGAAATAACAATATATAAAAGGAGTGGGAATAGAACCACTAAAAAGATCATCTTCTCTTTGAGTGAATTTTTGTCATTTTGTTTTATTAACGAGTCTCAACTCTAAACTAGTTTTAAACTTGTGCAACACGACAAATCGAACAAAACACATAAAATTATTTTAAAACATAATTTTTGTTTAATTTTATGTGCTAGTGTGAGTATATTAAAATATATTAAATCAAAAGTAAAAAAAAAATTATTTTTTTAATTATTAGTTGAACTAATTATTCATTATGTTTTTTTATATATAATTTTTCTGCCAAAAAGAACACCATTTATTCTTTTATATCCGGATTCTTAACTAAAAACTTGTAAGAAAAATAAAAAATCCATGAATTCTTAACTAAAAAGTTTTCTTATACATATTTTTTTCAAATATTAGACAAATTATCTTTTAAAAAATTTTAATCTTTAGATTATAATATATATAATCATGCCACTCATTTAAAAATTAAAAGAATTCGTCATATAAATTACATCAAATTTTTTTAAATAACAATATTCTAAAATTCGTTAAAAAAATCATACATAGATCGCTCTCTCCTCCCTTCTCTCTCTCTTTGTTTCTCTCTCCTCTTAGTAGCTAGCGATCAGGTTACAATACAAATAAAGTTGTAGATCAAAATAAAAATGATTGAAAAAATGAGGGACGAAAGGACAATATGAACAAGACTTTACCGATAAAATACATGAAAAAACCTCAAAATTATTTAAAAACCGCTCAATGTACAATAAAAAAGAGGTAATCAATGTTGTAGACGGAATAAATACTTGAAAAATAGTTAAAATAACAAAAATGCTACTGACTTAAAATCACAAAAATACAATCAAATGAATAGTATCATGTAAATGTGTAAATAGTCTAAAAATGGTAAAAATCCTATCTCTTCTAGGGTTTTTTTTTGTAATTATCCCTAGCTAGAAAGTCCTATAAATAGGAGTGCACATCTCATCACCTCCCAGTACATCCCAAGTTAGCTTCGAAATCAAATTTCAATTGCATTCGAGTGGTTTTCATAATTTTGATGGAGTTTCATCTCCTTCTCATATTTACTTTACTTTCTGTGAGTATATTCACTTTCTTGCAACATTTGTGTTATTATTTAAAAAAAATCATGTCTCATGCATATAATAGACATCGATTTTATATAGTTAATGTTTTGAAAATGGGAACCCGCCCCTCCGAGCTTGCTAACACACACCTCTCCATTTCCATGTTGCTCGTGCTACTGTTTGACACTTTCCTTAACCTTATGGCAGCTGCTGCTAGTAGCAAGTGATGCTTCTTTATCAGCTGAGGACTACTGGAAAACAGTGTTGCCAAAAACTCCATTTCCGCAAGCTCTTGAAGGTCTTCTTCAGCAGCATGGTGAGTTAAAAATTTGAACTCCTCCAAAACCAGAATATTGTGTTAAGATTGGCAAACGGTAGATCTATTAGAAAGTAACTTTATTTTCCACCTTGGCGTGGCCTTATATCAATACAGTAGGCTTAATGCCTCTTCTTCTTTTTTCCTCCATACCCATTCCCCTTCATTAAAAAATTTCTTCCCAGATGAGATTAAAATGTCATTAACCTTCCTTCTCTTCCTCTCTATTCACTTCTTTTCAAAATTAATTATTAAATTTTTGAGTTGAAATAATTATTTGATATGATATTAAAGTTTTAATGATTAAACAATTACAAGTTTGAATTTTACTACCTTCAATTTTTCTCTAATTAAATTAAAATTTTTATCTTCAATTAAATTAAAAATCTTACTACAAGGCAGGAAGATTATGTGCAAATTTAAAATCTAAAAAGTTTTTACTTAAGAAAATGTATTAGATAGTTAATATAAAATTATTCTTAAGACTCATCCAATAGTTTAACTTTTGGATTAAGATAGTTTGTTTGCAGTTTTTCAAATAGTTGACAAATAAGTTTCTTTTTCATATTTGCAAGTCAATTTTATAAAAAAAAACTTATAAACTAAAAAAAAAAATTACTAATCAATGAAATGAAGAGCATTTTTATTATTTTCCTTTAGTTTCTTTCTACGTATTGCCTAGTTTAAACTTATTTTTTTTTACCTCAATAAAAATTATTATTATGACTATTATAAGGACGGAGGCAAGAAATAAGAGTCATTTTGCAGGGAACACCAAGAGCAAAAAATGAGGGATACAGACTTGAAATAAAAGCATACTCTACAAGTCTTTAGAGGGAAAAAAGTAGGATCCCCTCCATAACACGGCATTTAGTATAGCTAATGAATGAATCCCTACATAAAATCATACGTATGCATGCACACACCACATTACTATCAAACAGAAACAGAAATGCTAGAACTTAAGCTGACGCGTCAACGCGTGTTTGGTTTTTTCTTTTTTTCTGTTTATTGGAGAGAATTCAAGAAGATATATATATAGTGGAGAGATCGAAACGGCTAAAAGAAATAAAAGAAAAGCTATGGAGAAGTCACGTGAATTAAGCTTTATAACAGGGAATACCTTTGCTGTATGTTAGTAACGTAAGAACCTTAACACATTCTTCATTAATTCATCTCACTCTCTTTCAAAGTGCGTGTCCCAAAATTCATGATCAAGGAAATTCCTATATAGATTAATTAATAGCAAATGAAATAATGAATTGTTACAGCCATGTAGTAAAAAAAGAGGGAAAAGTCTCTTGGTTAAAAGTGATTATTATTATTATTATTATTATTTTGAAGTAGTTATGAAAAGTGAAAGTGATATCATGGATCATAACATGGCCTTCAATAAGCGAAGAAATACAGCATATAAAAGCCGATACAACAAGACCTATAACAAGACTCGTGATCCAGTTACAATCGAAGAATCCATGAAAGATAGAGTTGCAACTAATGATGGTAAAGAATATACATTTATAATAAAATAATAATGTATATATAGGATATATGTTTTCTTTTCTTATATGTAAATTTCAATTTCAAATAGGTATGAAAAGTGAAAGTACTTTTTTGGAAGATGACATGGCCTTCAATAAGCGAAGAAATACAGCATATAAAAGCCGATACAACAAGACCTATAAGAAGGCTCGTGATCCGGTTACAACTGAAGAATTCATGAAAGATGGGGTTACAACTAATGATGGTAAAAAATATATATTTACAATAGAATAATAATAATGTATATATGGCATCTATGTTTTCTTTTCTTATTAATAAATTTCAATTTCAATAGGTATGAAAAGTGAAAGTACTTTTTGAAAGATGACATGGCCTTCAATAAGCGAAGAAATACAGCATATAAAAGCCGATACAACAAGACCTATAAGAAGGCTCGTGATTCGGTTACAATTGAAGAATCCATGAAAGATGGGGTTGCAACTAATGATGGTAAAGAATAGACATTTACAATAGAATAATAATAATGTATATATGGCATCTATGTTTTCTTTTCTTATTAATAAATTTCAATTTGAATAGGTATGAAAAGTGAAAGTACTTTTTGGAAGATGACATGGCCTTCAATAAGCGAAGAAATACAGCATATAAAAGCCGATACAACAAGACCTATAAGAAGGCTCGTGATTCGGTTACAATTGAAGAATCCATGAAAGATGGGGTTGCAACTAATGATGGTAAAGAATAGACATTTACAATAGAATAATAATAATGTATATATGGCATCTATGTTTTCTTTTCTTATTAATAAATTTCAATTTGAATAGGTATGAAAAGAGAAAGTACTTTTTGGAAGATGACATGGCCTTCAATAAGCGAAGAAATACAGCATACAAAAAGATGTACAATAAGACCTATAAGAAGGCTCGTGATCCCACTACAACTGAAGAATCCATGAAAGATGGGATTGCAACTAATGATGGTAAAGAATATACATTTACAATAGAATAATAATAATGTATATATGGCATCTATGTTTTCTTTTCTTATTAATAAATTTCAATTTCAATAGGTATAAAAAGTGAAAGTACTTTTTTGGAAGATGACATGGCCTTTAATAAGCGAAGAAATACAGCATATAAAAGCCGATACAACAAGACCTATAAGAAGGCTCGTGATTCGGTTACAACTGAAGAATCCATGAAAGATGGGGTTACAACTAATGATGGTAAAGAATATATATTTACAATAGAATAATAATAATAATGTATATATGGCATCTATGTTTTCTTTTCTTATTAATAAATTTCAATTTGAATAGGTATGAAAAGTGAAAGTACTTTTTGGAAGATGACATGGCCTTCAATAAGCGAAGAAATACAGCATACAAAAAGATGTACAATAAGACCTATAAGAAGGCTCGTGATCCCACTACAACTGAAGAATCCATGAAAGATGGGATTGCAACTAATGATGGTAAAGAATATACATTTACAATAGAATAGTAATAATGTATATATAGCATCTATGTTTTCTTTTCTTATTAATAAATTTCAATTTCAATAGGTATAAAAAGTGAAAGTACTTTTTTGGAAGATGACATGGCCTTTAATAAGCGAAGAAATACAGCATATAAAAGCCGATACAACAAGACCTATAAGAAGGCTTGTGATTCGGTTACAACTGAAGAATCCATGAAAGATGGGGTTACAACTAATGATGGTAAAGAATATATATTTACAATAGAATAATAATAATGTATATATGGCATCTATGTTTTCTTTTCTTATTAATAAATTTCAATTTGAATAGGTATGAAAAGTGAAAGTACTTTTTGGAAGATGACATGGCCTTTAATCAGCGAAGAAATACAAAATACAAAAGTAGATATAACAAGACCTATAAGAAGACTCGCGATCTAGTTACAACTGAAGAATCCATGAATAATGGGGTTGTAACTAATGATGGTAAAGAATATACCTTTAGAATAGAATAATAATGTATATATAACATTTATGTTTTCTTTTCTAATATGTAAATTTCAATTTCAAGTAGGTTTGAAAAGTGAAAGTACTTTTTTGGAAGATGACATGGCCTTTAATTAGCGAAGAAATATAAAATACAAAAGTAGATATAACAAGACCTATAAGAAGGCTCGTGATCTAGTTACAACTTAAGAATCCATGAAAGTTATAGTTGCAACTAATCATGGTAAATAATATACATTTAGAATAGAATAATAATGTATATATAGGATCTATGTGTTCTTTTTTTTATATGTAAATTTCAATCTCAATTAGGTATGAAAAGTAAAAGTATTTTTTTGAAAGATGAGATGGCCTTCAATAAGCAAAGAAATATAGGATACAAACGTCAATACAATAAGGCCTACAAAAAGATTCGTGATCCAATTACAACTGAAGAATTTATGAAAGATATGTCGTAACCAATAATGGTATATATAAAAATTTATACTAATAATGTATATATATCATTGATGTCTGTAATTAATTTTCAATTTCAAATAGGTAAAAAAAAAAAAATTGATAACATTTTTTCTCTTTTTGTTTTTTTAGAAGATGTCATGATCTTCAATAAGTGACGGCGAAGAACATAGATTTAGACCAATTATTAATATTTTTGATTTGCAATTTGGACCAGATAAGAAGGAAATCGAAGGTACTTTCCCTTATGATGATGACACGGTTATCAACGATTGGATTGACGAAAATGATGACCTCGCCGATACAGCTATATTCTACTTGTACCGTGGTCTCTATCCTGGCAAAAAGATGAAACTGCTTTTCAACAATGCTGGAAGTAGAGCTGGTTTCTTGCCTCGACAAATGGCTGAGTCCATACCATTTTCAAGTGACAGTGTGCCAAAAATTTTGGAGCACTTTTCACTAAAGACTGATTCAGCAGAAGCAAGTATTATAGCAGATACAATAGATGAGTGCGAGTACCCAAAAATGGAAGGGGAAGAAAAATATTGTCCTACATCTTTAGAATCCTTAATTGATTTCGTTGTTGCAAGGCTTGGCAGCAATGTTAAGGTGCTTTCAACTCAATCCGGCAAGAAACAAGAATATACTGCTTTGACAGGAGGCAAAATGATCGGAGATAGAGCAGTGGTATGCCACAAGGAGATATATCCATATGCTGTGTATTATTGCCATGAAATCGAGGACACCAAGGCTTTTATGGTTCCATTGGTGGCTGCTGATGGCACTACAGTTAAAGCAGTGACTATTTGCCATGACGATACATCTACTTGGAGCCCAGAGCACGTGTCATTTGAACTTCTTAAAGTCAAACCTGGAGTGCCTATTTGTCACTTTCTAGCCAATGATACCCTCGTTTGGGTTAAAGCTAAAGATGCAGAACGGGACTTCATCACCCATCTGGCAATGCCTATCACTGATCAGTAATTAAGGTAAAAAGCTGTATCATCTTCTCCATTCGGCTTTTTATGACATCCTAAATAAGGAGGTAGTGTTAAGTGTATCTATTGCAGTTTGAAACTGGATTGCTTGAACGGTGTGATGAACTATTTGTGTATTTTTAGTTCAATAAAACTTTCGAGTCTTTCCTTAAATTCCTATGCTTGAATTTTTGTGTTTTCTTGTCATCTGCGTAGGTATTTCCTTATACCTCAACTAACATGCATGAGTATCCTTCTTTTTGGTTGTGAATTTCTTCTTAGGTGCCTCAATTAAGGGGATTTTGAAATAAAAATGTTATATAAAAGTTGGAAGACAGTCTGCAAGATAGAAGATAATCTATCTTCCTCTTAGACTTCAAATTAAATGGCTAAAACTGATATATATATTGTCATAGCCCAAAATTTCCCTATACTTATTTTATTGTTATTTAATTCTTATGTTATTTTTGTTTTGTTTGAATTATTTTAGAAAAAAAACATACAAAAAAAGAATATATATATAAAATACAGAATCTCTCCGAAATCAATTCTCGAATCTCAGAAAACCTAAAAAAAAAAAAATGTAGTGTCCAATAATAAAAGCTGGGCAGTCACCCCCCACTGCCAAGGAGGACTGCCATAGCCACTCCTCAAGGCTGACCTTCATCTTCGCCATCCCAATCTCCATGAACTCTCCACCAAAAATCCATCCCATCTCAGCTACACAACAATGGCAAGAAGTGCAGCACCAAACTTCGAAGAGGTGCCGTGAATGGATCTCATGACTAAATGCCTCTGTCGGATGAACTGTCCCAAAGTTGCTAAAGTCTCAATGTGATTATCAAGCCTCTGCCATAATCATCTCCATCAATCCCCTCCTCCCTACATCTCACTCTCTCATCTACCCTTTTTTCTCATACAGTCCCCATAAAGAACCCTTGTTTCATCCTAACCTCGCCTCAAGATCACCAACGCCAGCCATTACTCCATGGCAGCCACCCGAGCACATGCCATCCTTATAAACCCATAGTTCTTCTAAACAACAACTACCCTCCCCATTCAGTCATCTCTCCACACCAACAAACACACAACTCCCTGAGCTTCCATCTCCACAGCTGCAAGTCCCCACCATAACAACCAGTAGCCTCGTAACCATTTAACCGAGAGACCCATCCTTTCATCACAACAACCATTTTCACTCTAACCTCCCTTGGCCGAAAACACTAGCTGCTGCCCTGTTATCCACCTCTCTGTCTTCATCTAAAGCCAGCTCTCTCTCTTCCAAAGACCTCAAACCAAACAGCCCTAAGCCTCCATAAACCCTCCATCGTTAAACCCGATCTCCCTTGCCAAAAAATAACGATCTCACCATCTCACAGGCAAAAGCACATACACCTAGCGTGCATACCTCCCAAAACTACCATTTACCGTCATCCCCTATCTTCACAGCCTCTCAATACCAAAGCTCCTACCATACAAACATCGGACATCCCAACACCCCGAAACCTCTATAATCCACTACTGTAACAGCCCCTATTGAAGTTCGTACACGAGGCACAAGATCATCTGACCTCCCACTCTAATTTCTCTGAATCCACTGAAGTCGTGCTCAATCTCGTTGCATTACTTGTGGCAAATCTTGCCGATCCAAACAGAAGGTGATTTGCATACTAAGAGAACTGGCGTGAGGATGCCATCCTCATACGACCTGAGAACAAATACAGAGCACCTCCAGTAGCCTCTCTCTCAAGCTCCCAAAACCCCAGGCAACAAAAGGAGAGGATGGAAGATATGAAGGGAATTCAGATCACTCTGATCTAGAGGCCTCGGGTGTAAAGGATGGATGGCAACCGGGTTGTGGAATCGGAAAAGAGACCACGAAAACAAAGGACAAGACTGAAAAATGGAAGAGAAAAATTTTTGAATCACTTTGAAGCAGAGAAACAGTGAAGAAGGAGAGGAAACCGTATGATTGCGGTGGAGATTTAAAAAGGATGGGAAGAGGACGGAAGGTAAGATATTATTTCTTCGTTGTATTTGGGGGATTAGTATGAAAAATAGGTTGAGGAATTGAGATATGACTGAAGTTTTGTTACAGGGGAAAGAGGGCTGGATAAATCTAGCCCGTGAAAGCGCCAAGAGGGCTGGACAAGTCTAGCCCGTGAGCAAGAGCTGGACTGTCTAGCCCGTGATATTAGTTATTATTATTATAAAAATAAATAAATAAAGAACTAGACCCGCTTGTTAAAGAAGGAGAAAAACTAAAAGAAAAGGAGGAAAGAAAAAGCAGATGGATTGGCCCAATGGGCCCACCACCACCAAAAAGAAAGAAAGAAAGAAAGAAAGAAAGAAAGTCTAATGTTTTTTAGTTTTAATTTTTGTTTTAGATATTATCTTAAACATTTATTTATGCATGTTTTATTTACTATTTAATTTAGATTTAAGTATTCTAGTTTCCTTAGAATCTTATTTGGTAATATTTCTAATTATTTTAATTCCCAAGTCGTATTTCTATAATTAGTTTAGATAATCAAATGATAAATGAATTATCGAATCTCTTAATATTTAAATATTGATGACAATTCTTTATTGATAAAAAAATAAAAATTCTCAATGAAGTCTCCTATTTCATAAGGATTATCATTTGACCAAGAAAAACAAAAATAATAAAAATTCTCAACGAAATCTCCTATTTGATAGAGATCGTCGTTTAACCAAAAAATAAAAATAATAAAAATTCTCAATAAAGTCTCCTATCCGATAGGGATCGTCGTTTGACAAAAAAATAAAATTTCATGACGAGGTCTCTTATATGATAATAACTATTGTTATAAAAAATCATTATTTAATAATTAGGATGTTTTCCGACACATCGGTTGTGTTGAGACTTAAAGTGAATCCTATTTTTTAACCGACATGTTGCCCGATAAAAAGGATTGATGATCGTTTCAATATGATGTCATGCCAAAAACTAAAAAACTTAATTTAGATTTAAAAATTAGAGTTAAAACTGAAAAATAATTTGAAATGAATAAAATACTTTAGGAGATGAATTTAGGACTAAATTAGACATGGTACATTTATTCAAAAATGATATTTTTTGGTGATTAAATATCTTTCAAGAAGCATAATCAACTCTTTACCCGAGAATCTCGACGATCATTGCTATTTTTAGGTTTCAGTTCCTTAATACTAAGTGGCGAATCCGAACTTGTAAATAATTCGATAAATAAAATCTAACTCGTAAATTAGATTTTTTTAGGAGTCCCGTTTGACGTTGGGTAACGACATATATATATATATATATATATATATATATATATATATATCAAAACATAAACTAACTTCGTTTTTTTATAATAATTAACTAATTTTAAGTTTGACAACAAGTATAAAAATCATGGAATGCAAAGTTCTATAGAAACTAGAATCTATAAATAATGAATGAAAATTCATTACAAATGACAATGACATTGGAAATATAAAAACTTACAAACACCTGGAATTGCTAAACAAACTCCAAATGGGACTCCAAACATTGAGAGACGAGATTTACATGTGTTACAACGAAAGTAGCAATCGGACTAGGAGCGATCTATCGATCTACTTGATTACAACCTATAATTATAACCTACTATGTTTTGAGTATTTGAACTAAAAGATAAATCCGATAATTTACAAGGATTGTGCTTGTATTTGTTGTTGATGATTGTTATGTCCTTTTTTCTTTGTTGCAATCAACAAGGGCTCGGAACACGAGCCGAGTCAACGACTAATTGTTGGCGTAACTAAGAAAGCTTAAACAAACTAGTCTATGCAAATATTTGGTTATGAGGTTGATTACAAATGAAAAATATCCACATCACGGCCACCATGCCTATCATAACAAAAAAATTCCTCTAAATTTTTTATCCTTTTTTATTTTATTTTTATGATTTTATTTTTACTTTTGTATCATCCTCTTTTAGTTATTTTTTTTATTTCTTTTTTATTTGTATTTTCATTTTGAAACTTACAACAACAAAAAAGGGCAAAAATAAAAAAAGATAAAATAAAACAAAATTAATTACATTAAGGGCATGATTGAATAAAATAAGATTAAAATTAAAGTAATTAAGGAAACAATTGAAGAATGTGAAACATCTAGTGGCTAAAATTACAAGATACAAAGACCCGATTGAAGAAATTAAAAGTACAAGGGCTACAACGACACACCCAAAGGGAATAATTAAAAAGAAATTAAGTCTATATGGACCTAAATTAACCTAAGAAACAAACAATAGGACCAATTTAGGATCACCCAAATGACTCTGTTGTCCAAGCTTCCCTAACAATAGTCCGGGATGCCAGCTCTAATCCTCTCGTTAGTGTAGGTGCCCAAGATTCAATCATGTTTGGATATGTTTGAATTATTACATCATTGCATTATTTATTTTATTAATAATAAAAAAGTCTTTTTATTAATTCTTATTGGTTACATTTATTTATTGAATAGAATTAGATAGAAGTCCTTATGATATGCATTTGCATTAGTGATTGATCGAAATATGTGAGACAAACATTAATGCACATAAATGATATCATTAAATGTCTCAAGTAGTAGCATTGTCAAGAATGGGCATTAACTATATGCGATTAGACTTGTGAGTGCTATGCTTATGCTATATGATAGCGAGTAAGAGATCTCACACATATTGGCATGATGATGCCAAAGCAAGTACTTAGATGATTAATGTTTGAGAACATATCACTAGACTTGAAAGTTTTCTATTTTGGAAAAAGGTTTTCTAAAATGAAAAGTTTCCTAAAATTAAAGTTTTCTAAAATAGAAAACTTCTAAAATATAAAATTTTTCTATTTTAGAAATCGGTTTTCTAATTTGGAAGTCGGTTCCAAATTTGAAAATAAATTACCTAAAAAAAATTAATTTCCTAATTTAGGTTTAAAGGTAATTTATAAATTTATTTCTTAACGTGAGGCTCTTAAAAATATCTAACCTAATATGGA